CTATCTATCTATCTATCTATCTATCTATCTATCTATCTATCTATCTATCTATCTATCTATCTATCTATCTATCTATCTATCTATCTATCTATCTATCTATCTATCTATCTATCTATCCCTCCCCCCCCTCTGGGGTCGCTCTCTCCACCAGCCCTGGCAGCATCTCTTTGGAACGACGCTGATTTGTTGATCACGGAAAATGACGCAGGCACGTCCGCAGCCTAGCAGCGGAAAAGAGACGGCGTAAACAAAGCCGACAGCAACAAACCAGCTAATGCTCAATGTCCTGTGAGTAATATACTTCACGTGGAAACGTTATGTTGTACATGCCCGCCTTCTGTTGGCAACGTAATATCACTGTCCTTAAATCAACGGACCTTTTTAGTGTGCTGGGACCAATTTAAACCGCACGGTCGTTGCTAGTGACGTTAGCCTTAGCTAACCTTAGATAACGGGATTTTGTAGTTCTTGAAATCGTTAACCAAGTCCCAATTGAAAGATACCACAGAGAAACTATCACTTGAAATTGTGACGTTGGCCGAGCGCCATGACAGCTGCCAGCATTGATATCTTTTTATGTTAGATCGCCATGTAGCATATTGTGGTTGAGGATCGTTCGGCTGAAGCTGAAGCACGGCTGGAGAGAGGAGGCGCTCCTGGATAGATGACCATTGATCGCAGTCATCTGGACGCGGAGTGCGATGTTCAGTCTGATGGCGAACTGCTGCAACTGGTTGAAACGCTGGCGGGAGCCTGCGAGGTGAGTGAAGCCACAAAGTGGTGCCTAAATCTGGTCCATGTCGGGCGTGTTGTCGCTGGTGTGAAAGGTCAGCTGACCGATGGATCCAGAGAGGACGTTACCGGCCATAACAAAGTTCTGTTTTAGATAGTTTAAGACTCACCATGTTAAAGTTTACGACTTGTCTCACTTTAATTTCCTTCGAGGACAGAAGATGATGCTGTTTTTGCATCAATCATTTTCATTCTGGATCAATTTGAGCGTTATTCTTCTTCTTTTCAAGATGCATCATTAAAACCAAGACTTGTGATAACGATGCATTTCTTTTAGGTTAGAAGAAATGTATGTAATGATTGTAATCATTGTGACTTATTATTCAAATACTCTCAGAAGGTGCTAAGATATAGGGAAAAACTTAAATTCATTTACATATTTTGTAGAGTTGTGGTGGCAATTTGATGTTTTGACATTCATAGTCTTTCTGTACTCTAAGTCGTACTTACACATTAGTCTGACCTTGTTTAAGTCTTACCTTATCCAAAATGATCAGAGAAAAATCAGGCAGAGCAAAGCCAGTCTGAAGAAGCCAATGAATACATTAAAAAATAATTACAAAAATAGGTATTTTACATTATTTCTCTCCAAAAAACATCACAGTTACAAAATTAACTCTTTATTGTGCTTTCATAATTTATGTCTTCAAATCTACCAAACAATGTTACACGGTTGTGCATATATTGTTGAGTCTACTGAAAACAGACAAGTAAATTCACAGACATGTGTTAATTGACATAATGTTATTTTAAATTCAAATACGGTGTCTCTCATGTGTGAAGAGTTAATTTCAGCTGTGGTCTCTGTGCTAAAATGAAAAACCTATCAAAACATTAAGTCTTATTCATGGTGATGATTTATTTTATTCTTTGTGTTTGAGATGCTTTGTCAGGATACAAAGAACTTCAAATTATACCACGTAAAACAGCAAGACCAGCACAAAGTGACCAACAAAGCTTAACTCGCATAGTAACTGTGTGAGGCATCTGATCCTTCGGACTTAGTAAGAAATCCTCTTCTAATCCAGCAGTGAGGTCTGTTGAGTAGGTCTCGTCTACCTGATTTGTTGCCGTTGGTGGTTTGCAGGAGCAGTCAGTAGAAGGTTATGGGTTTGTGGAGGTGTATATTGTGACGCTGCCTTGATGAAGGCCAGTTGGCTCCAGAGGACAGTTGGATGGATTGTACGGTTGATGTCTTTTAGACGCAAGTGTCAAAGTTAAGTATACATCCAGAGGGTGAAGAGTATGAGTGTTTGTGTGTACGCGATGACTCTCCTTACTGTGGATCATTATGTTGTCTTTCAGTTTTGTTTACTCTCTAGATGCTTTTCTCTGTGGTTTGTTTTTTAAATTAAAAACCAACAGTCAGAAAAGTGGCTATATATTGTGATATTAGTGACATTTTTGTCAGAGAATTGGTTGTTTTATTGCTGCTAACATTATTATTCTTTTTTGAAATAAGGATTTTCAGAAACTTTGAGGTCTAATACAGTAAGATGGTATAGTTTTCACATTCTATAAACCGACTTTGACAAATTTAACTTTGTGTAAGAAAGCGTCTTTATGCGTATCTATTCAAGGTCTTATCATGCCATTAATGAACGATATTTGGACCACTGAGTAACGTGCTGGTGAAGGTTGTGATGCTGCCAGCTTGCTTGCCGGGTGTACGCATGCTTCATAGTTGAAGACCTGCAAATACTGGCTGACATCTATGTTATGGCACAATTTAAAATATTGTAATAATTTTATTTTCATTGAAATATGTTCATAGTAACATCTTTTTGGGGTGATTACATCTTTTTGATTCAGTCTTTGTTTTTGATTAAAAGGACACTTAGGTTGCGTGGAACAGATATGCTGTGTCATTGTCCTCTTTCATTGTGTTACTTTACCATGTGTCATTGTTGTTGACGCACTCAGTTCATTGGACACGTCTCTGATCGAGGTGCTCATTGAGATTATTAACTGGCTTATCTGTCCTCTAAAATGCGTCATGAGGGCTAATGCCAGGAGAGGCTGCAGGCTGGCTCTGCGTGATGTATTTTTGGACAAATATATCTATTTGTTGCCTTTTGTTTTGTCTAACAGGAAAGTGACCCTGGTGATGGTGGGCCTTGATAATGCAGGAAAGACAGCAACAGTGCGAGGAATCCAGGGAGGTCAGGATCCTTTGTTTTGGATAATATTAAAACATTGTCTGTATGTCTTCTTTACTCTGTTTATTTACTGTTTTTCTGCTCTGTTTTTTTGTTCTTATGACTTTTTTAAAACAAATTTTGACCACTTGCAGCAATATTTAGTCAGCTAAATATTTAATCTCATGTTTTATAGTTTTACATGAAAGTTGTGCTGCAGAAGTAATCCCAGTCCTACAGTTTACATGATTTGTCTTTCAGATAATCCACAGGATGTGGCTCCCACTGTGGGCTTTTCCAAAGTAGACCTGAAGCAAGGAAAGTTTGAGGTGACCATCTTTGACCTCGGGGGTGGGAAGAGAATCCGAGGCATCTGGAAAAACTACTATTCAGAGTCACATGGCGTGGTGTTCGTGGTGGACTCCAGCGATGTCCAGCGAATTCAAGAGACGCGGGAGACCATGGCAGAGGTCCTCCAGCACCCACGCATAGCCGGGAAACCTGTTCTAGTGTGAGTGCTTTATCATGGAGGGAAATTCTACTTAACAAAGGCCCAAAATGATGAGCCAAGATTTCAAGAACAAACAGACACTGATTTGTTGAGAAGTACTCGGTACAATTTGTTGATCAAATGCAGGGCATGGTATATAAAATCTCTATGTTTTTAATTAGTAACAGAAGCTGCTGGCTGGGGAACTGAGAGTTTAAAGAATATTTTTTATTATGCAGAGTTCTTATCAGCAATCGGCAGAGCAACATTTCCATGCGATGTCCAGCTGTTGTAACCGTACAAATAATACAAGTGGACTCCTGATCACTGGATCTACTACCTTTATCTTTAGGGATCAGGTGCAAAAGTTATGATATAGAGCTTTATGTTTAAAAAAAATAAAAAATTCCTCTCTGCTTTTAGGCTTGCCAACAAACAAGACCAGGAGGGAGCACTGGCCGAAGCAGACATCATTGAGAACCTGTCCTTAGAGAAGCTTGTTAATGAGAACAAGTGTCTCTGTCAGATCGTAAGTGTTTCTGCAAATATTCCGAGGCAGCTTTTAAATCTCATCAGGGCATGCTTGGTCATTTCAATACAAATAGGCGGGCTTATTCTTCAATAACAGATCATTCTTATTTTTAACAAAGAGCACCTTAACACTGCCTGAGCTTTGCTGAGTACAAAATCTGTAAGGTCCTTTTTCCTTGCATGATGCAACTTGACTCTGCTCAGGCCATTTTTCCTTTACAACTAAGTATCACACCAATGTGTGTGGGATCGTCACAGCAAGAGGGTCCAAAAGTCGTAGTCTTTACTGAGCATTTTTAAATGCTTGGAGGTAAAAGTTACAATGTATTATTACTAATACCACTACTACTATTACTGCTACTACTATTACTACTAATGATAATATTAGTGATGATAATAATAACTGTTGTAACTTTCCTATCCCAGGAGCCATGTTCTGCTGTTTTAGGCTATGGAAAAAAGATTGATAAGTCCATCAAGAAGGGACTGAACTGGCTCCTCAATAACATTGCCAAAGACTATGAGGCCATTACTGAGCGCGTGCAGAAGGACACAGCTGAACAGCGTGCTTTAGAGGAGCAGGACAAGAAGGAGAGGGCAGAGAGAGTACGGCGGATACGAGAGGAGAGGTGAGAACATGACTCAGTTTGCACTCTTCAGAAGAAGGGAGGAGTGAAGAGAGAGTAGATGTCCTGGGAATGGGAAACGGGTTGCTTATTGAAATCTTAAAATTGTAAAGACTGAAGCTTTCTCAAATTTGATCCTGAATAAAATCAGTAAAGATGCAATATACAACTATATTAGCACTCAGAAAGATCAGTTGAATTTTTTGTATCCACAGAGAACGACAGGAGCGTGAAGAGGCAGAACGAGAAGGCCGGCCGATCCAAGAAGAGGAGCCCAGTAACGAGGACATTCAGAGCCCGTTTCAGCCCATAGGAACCATGATTTCGGAGGTGAATTTTCCCTGTGCATGCACCACACACTGGCTTATCACAATTTATGTTCTAAGGTCTATGAATTGTTGCTGAAGCTGCAGCTTACTTCAAAGGGCTCATGGATGATTTTCCTTTTTCCTTTTTTTTTTCTTTCAGAATGAAGATAAAGAAAAAGAGAGGAAAAGGCAGGGAGAGCTGCAGGACGTCAGCACTAACAGCCTAAAGGCCGGGGTGGATAGGGAGGATGAGGAGTATGAGGCTGATAACGTTGAGGAGCCAGATGATACAAGACAAACAACAGAAAACGGTTCAGGTAATTTATTTGGGAGAGATGACTCAATGAGAAATTAGAGGATTTAAAGACTGTTGAGGGGCCCTCATGTCTGAAATATTTTTTATATTTGAACCCACAACAGGTGAGCAAAGCAAAAAGAAGACGAGTAAGCTGCACCTGAAGAGGAAACACAGGGTAGACCCGCTTAGGGTGGAGGATGGACCAGCGGAGAGCCCCACACCTCCACCCCCTCCTGGTTAGTCCCCGCTGTTAAAGACCCTCAGTGTCACTGCGTTGTTGGACCATGTGACGGCTGCATTTCAGTCAGGGTCAAGCAAAAATGACATCTGAATTTAAAACTTAATACCTAAAAGTGTGGATAAAACACACTGTTTACCTTTTGTTTGTGCTCTTCTGTTAATCTAAAAAAGATCAAATTAATTTAAGTTTAAACATGGTTTATCCCAGGTACTGCTTAACATTCTTAGTTGAATTATACTTTTGTTGGAGCAGCCCTGTCTAATTAATGCAGTTAGAAGATACGTCTTATCCAATTGTTAACAGGAGTAGTTTTTAACATTAAGAAATATCACAGTTTAAAATATAATAGGGAGGAAAGTAGCAAGCGCCTACATAAGAAAGCAGAAACCCATATGTCATCAATGCATATCACTTGCACTAGTGCTGTGGCAGCAAAAGCTTAATCTCAAAATTAATGACGGAATGGTTTGTTTTGCTGGTCAGCAGAACTTTACCAGTAGTTGATGTCTAGCTGTGGACTGCCATAGATTCTGACTAATCCCTGTAAGCATTTTCAGATCCTCTTTCAAAGTCACATCATCAATCTCAGCAGCTGTGCCTGAGCACCACTTACTGTATTTCTTAGCATCTTCAACATTTATTGTAATGATTTCTTCTTTATTCTGTGTTTTAGTGGGATGGGCCACACCCAAAGCCTCTAGGCTACCTAAACTAGAGCCACTTGGGGACTCGAGGCATTCTGGTAAAGCGGCCTGTGAAATGTTAACCACAAATTAATGTCATACAACATCATCAGCCAATCATTAACTTACTAACTCAGTCTTGGTATGGATGAAGTCATTCTGTAACTGGTAAGACAGAGCCGGTGTTTTCCCTGTTCTGGAAAGCAGACTGAATTTTGATGTGTTTTTTTTTTGGCCTTGCACTATTGTAAAATATACAATAATGATACAATATGAACATCATCTTGGAACTACCAGTTTCATAGAGCGGTTTTTGTTGAATTTGTGGGCTTTACAGCGATGGAAAAACTTTTGTCAGTGCAGAGTTGCAGGGAAACACTGAGGTCTGTCTGCTGCATGTGTGCTGACTGTAAATAAGTGTGACACCCTCATCCTCTCACCTGCTGCGGCTCAACAGGCATGCGCTTGAATGCATGTGGATCCGTCGTGGTCACAGGCATCTAAATCAACTCAGGCCTGTCTGGGGAATCATTCTAATTTTCCCACCACTTTTCACACCATAATCACCATTCTGAAGCATTTGAAGCATTTTCTCTGTCTTCTCTAATCTGGTACTATTTCTTGAATCTAGATAGATCATTAATGGACGTGGCTGTTTTTCATTTCAGGACTGGATGGTTGTAGTTTATTAACGTTGCTGAATCTTTTTCCCTCCCCTCCACAGAGTTTTACAAGAAGCCTCTCCCACCGCTCGCAAATAGGCCTCGGCCTAATGGCGATGCTCACGACGTCATATTATAAACCATCTTTACTGATTGAGGTGAGCTCTTGGCCAATCATGGCTCTCTCCTTTGTTTTCTGTCTCAAGCAACTGGTGTATAGACAGCCCAACTAAGCGAGTGATTGTGGGTGTGGGAGCCGGCGACCAACCTCACTTGCCAAGGACACGGAGTAGAGCCGCGACATGAAGCTGATTTTTGATGGACACAATTCAGTGAAGCGTGCTGAACCTGCTTGAACAGGTTCTGTCTTCACTCAACAAAGCACATTCAGTGCTGAACTTGTTTTTTGTTTGTTTTTTTGTTCATAATATCAGTATTAGAAGGTTTGGGCAACACATGTCCAATTGAAATACTTTAATTGACAAAGAATGTAAATAAAACCATATTTATGTGTCTGTTAATGAAAAATGTGTCAGTATACACGTTGCCATTAAAAATTCCCACATTTCTCTTGGTTATTTTTGCACCTTGAGATTCAGAGTCAAATCATCATCATCATCATCATCATCATCATCATCATCATCACCATCATCAGGGAAGACCATTAATTGAAATTGATATCTTCACTGTCTGTGATCTTTATAAATGTCAGAGGTTATGTTTTTTACCTGCCAGCAGCACCACAAACGATTTACTATTACAAATATATGTAAATGTACCTTTCTAGGGGGCTACAGATTTTTTTTTATTACACTTTACGCTGTTTACGCTGTATATGGTTTTAAAGTAATATTTTCTATCGTGGCAACCCCATTTTGCTTCTACATTTTTAATCACAACATAGTGATTGAGCATGAATCTGAAGAGTCTTTCTTTCTAATCTGTAAGAGTTTGCAGGAGCAGTTAGGAGAAAAATCACGAGAGCATCACCAGCAGCCAGAAAAGTGTGCTCTGATTATTCTGTAAAACAAAGCCAGAACATGGAATATGGAGTGTGTAGCAAATTTGGATATCACTTTAAAAATACAACATTTTATTCTAAATCTGTTCTGCAAAACTCACTCTCTTGTTAATGATGTAGATGTTTAAAAGGTATTTTTTCTACCCAGTTTCAATTTTATAACAGGATAATTAAAAATGTTTTGAATATGTTACCGTGTAATTTGAATAATTGTGTCTGTTTCTAAGGTTGTCTGTAGTGATTGTGGGGTATGTGTGTGTGTGTGTGTTATCTTTTTTAATAATTTTATTTTGTTTTTTGACAACAGAATAATTGACCCCTTGGTTAGTCGTGTACCCGGAAGAGGGCACGTAATAATGGCATAGCAACAGTCGTTAGGGACACACTTGTTAGACTAACCGATTATTTAATTGTACAAATATTTTTCAACATGTTCTAAAATGTGTTAATTAACTAAAGCAGGAATGAATAAAAAAAATTAGGTAAGGACTGAAATAATTATGTTTTTTATGACTATTTGACGAAAATAAGGGAACTGTTTTGTTGGACGCTGCAGAAAAAGGCGGACCACCTAGCTACGTGGCGGCCATTGTGGGAAGAAAATGATTTCATAGTCACGAAAATTACGAGATGCACGATTCGTATTTTGCCGAAAATGTCAGTATTTGTACACATTTCAGGTAAAACGCTTGAAAATAGTATTGTGGAAAAAGAAGAAAATAACAAAACACGTCGCTATTTGACCTGAAACACCTGGTTAGTGTTTATAAAGTTTATCAGTTTTTCAAACTCCCATCATGTATTAATTAATACTATATGCAAGTGCATTCTTTTTAAAACACGTTACAAATTAATGTGTTTATGGTCATGGAAATTGACAAAACAATAGTTAAAAAGGGGTGTGTCCTAAAGTAAAAAACTTTAAGACAAACGTTTTGGAAAAACACAGGAAATAACACATTAAAAGCACAAGTTTATTAGCCTTTTTTTGCCCACAGCACTTCCTGAGCTGTCTTGCAACACTTTCAGGATGGGGATGACTTGCAGCACAAAGCTTCTAAAATGCCAAAAGTAAAAACGTACATAAAATAAAATCACTGTGTTAAATCCATTGGCAACAGGGAGCAACGAAAGGAACTTGAAAAGACATTTAATCTTTTTGTGTTGCTGTGTTGTAGGACTACCAGCCATTAGAAAGTGTTGTGCGCAGTTAGTTGTATTTGGCTGTATTTCACACTCCCAGGCTGTTCTTTCTCTCATATACACAGAAGTGTTTTAGAGCAGTGTTCTAATGAATGGGACTTTAGCAGATTTCTGCATAGCTGAAAAGTCGTTCCATTTATTAGAATCAGGTGTGCTGGAGCAGGGACACTTTGAAAAGATGTAGGGCAGTGTGCCTTGAGGACCAGGGCTGGGAAACACTGTTTTAGAGAACCAAGTAATATTGCTGCCAGTGGTGAGTGAATTATTCATTTCAATAGTATTGGACCCTTTACCTTATACTTACCTGTGCATACAGTACACATATATGTAATAATAGCACACCCATTTGTCTTGTAAAAAAAAAAACCTATAGATCGCCTAATAAGTTAACTTTAGCTCTCTTTATTTTCTAGACTTCCAAGAAAATTGGAATTTGAGGAAATTCCTGTGTGCCACAGTACCCATATTCCCAGTAATGAACATCTCAGTGATGGCCATGTGATGAATGTCAGCTGTGCCTTGGGGACTATACAGGTATGATGCTCCTAAAAGTATACATTTCTCAGCTACTCTACCCAAGTACTGTAGTATTGTCTTTGAAATGAAAATAAGTTGTGATCTAATGCGCTGGTTGCATCTCAAATCTCAATGCACACAACTGAAGAAATATCTATCTATCTATCTATCTATCTATCTATCTATCTATCTATCTAT